CCCCCCCCCCCCCCCCACCATCCTCCACCTCACGACGCTTCCAACCCAATTCTCAACCTGCCTACTAAATCACACAACCCTCCCAAGCATTCAAATCGCAAAGCACCTCCCAACACCTCCTAGAAATCCCAAAGTCCATGGAGGGTCGTTGCACCCAGACCTCGTTGTACAGGATTTGAGGTCTGGGGTAGGGGGGTTCATCGAATCGTGTGGCTTTGGGGCTTGGGGTTGGGTTGGGATTTCTGGAAGGTTTTGGGAGGTGCTTAGCTTTGTCTTTTGGATGGTTGGGAGGGTTGATTTTGTAGGCAGGTTGAGAGGGTTGCAAGACTGGTGGGTTTCGGATGTGAGGTGTGGGTTTGCCCTTGGTTGATGCACGAAGCCCCAAACTTGCTACCTGGAGGTCACTACGTCCTTGCTCTGGCCGGGTTAGAGCTAGGCGCAACCCAGGGGGCTAAGCACAACCTTGTTTTCGGCTTCAACAGCGTTGTGGTCTCCAGGTTGAAGCGGTCTAGTCTGTTTCTCGAGACTCAGAAACCACCCGTACGTGCACAGATGCAACTTTGGAACTGTACGAGTGATCTCATGAGAGCTATCGTAAATTCTGATCACACTAATTCTCTCATGTCGTCACGGAAGTAAAGATCCCTTTGCTGCTGATGTAACTACCATGAGGGGTTTCTGTCGGGGGGACACTTATGGCTCCAGGCGCACGTGCCTTCAGGTCGCGGTTGTGGGTGTGCGGGGGAGTAGGAAGCAGCGACGAGGGCAGGAAGCCGCAGCACTAAGTCGGATGCTGACCCTGGAAACCGGTAGGACTGCACCAGGCTGTTGTGACCCTTTGAAGATGCAAGACAGCAGACAAGCTACAAGGCACCATCTTTTTGTCCGTCAAACATGAGCCCAGCCCGCAGCCCTGAGCCATACTGGTAGCTGCGGGCCCGAGGTGTGTCGCTTGCAGGAACCTTTGCAATCAAAGCCTCGGGATCCTGAGCCTTCAGCTTTGCTTCAAACACTCGGATTCCGGGAATAATCGAGCTTTTCGAGCACATGTTCCTTGTCTCTGGAGGAGTGAGACATAAACAGGAGAGAAGGTGAAGGAGAACCGATGCTGGTCTCGAGGTACGTAAAATAAGCGCAGGCAAGTCTCGCCATCAGCATCAGGCTAACGTCCAATATAACAGCTTCTAGACCTGGTATTAGCAGGAAAATGGCGAAACATAGCCCAAAGCCCTGCTGTTCCCGTTTGAGCTGTGCTCTGCCGGTGGTCGAGCAGCGATTCAATGATTTGTGCTCAAGCATTCATCGGTGGACAGGGCGGTGGCAACGTCTTTGCCTGCGATGCCTGCTTCGAGTAAACATGGAAGTTCGAGTGTAGAGCATACTTTGGGTGCTCAGGAACTCAGGAACTGATTTCTTCCACAAGTATCTATAGGGCCACTGTGGAGCAGTGCTATTCAGCTTCCAATCGTGACGGCTGCGGCGAAGATGGCACCCAAGAAGGGCGGTCGAACCGAGCCAGCAAGCACCTCCGGCGGTGTTACTGCCAAGGAGCAACATGTGCGCTTATCTGATCATGTTGCGAATCGTTGTTAGATTTCGTACAGCGAAACTAATGAGTAACTCATGGTTGATGAATGGTCGGTTGGCATGCTGCTGCTACTGATTCTTGCTAGCATCTGCCGAGCTCGGTTTCGACAGTGACCTTACTGCATACACCCAACACTTCACAATGCTGGATGAGCTCTGGATCATCTGAGCAGGAGAACTTCTGGAGCACTCTGAACGATGAGGATCGCAAGCCTCCTTGCCAGCTTAGCAGACCTGAGGGCTGGTTTATGCTAGTGTAGCTCTGACCCAAGATTCTGCGGGCCTTTTCGAAGGTATGTTGGGTCTGTGCAATGTTGGATTGAGCGTTGCAGCTTGGGACGGATGGGCCGAGCAAGGAACTAACTGCCCGGGTCGGGCTCGTTGAAACGCTGAAGCCTTCGAGTTTTATGAATGTAGCGATCACCCCATACAAGGCTCCCCCTTCCCCAAACACCCTCCATCCGTACCGGACGTCAGCCCGAAGCAGTCCCAAAGCCGAGGCTTGCCACGGCCTTTGATTGCGCCACGAAGGACCAGCTTGAGCAAGCGAAGAGCAAGAAGAAGGTCCGGTCCTCTGTTGAGAAGCTTTGGCTCTGGATGTTGACATATGTTGATATTCCAACAAGAGGTAACAAGCTCATTCGATGCATCAGAGCTTGCAGAACAGTTTCAACAACTTTTGCGGATGTAAAGGTTCGGTGTGCAGGCCATGTCTATGTACTGACTTGCACTGAAAGGTTACGGCATGCAAGCGGAAGTGCGACATCGTGAGAACACCAGGCTAAGATGCGAGCCACCGTTCTGTGAAAGCAACTTCAACCAGATCTTCATCATCATTTGCCCTGACATCGTCGGCCGCCGTCATCGTTATCATCATCAGAAGCTGAAGTATACTGCGCATCATGGTGCTGAGGGTTTGTAGTCGGTACAGGATCCTGTTAGCAGAAATTTCGCCTCAACATGAAACAATAGTTTGCTGATGCAAGAAGCTTGATGTTGCCAAGCTGCTTCAGCTGTCGAAGGGTTTGCACTTGGGGTATTCCCGGCTCCAGCTGCCATAATTTCGGGTCGGAATATCGCACGTTTCTTCAGAGTCCCGATATGTCACTGTACGCCTTGGGGTTACGAAAGCTAGATAGTTCCTTTGGCGCTGTTGCAGAGGCTCCGGGTTCAGGGGCGCCAGGGAGGCTTAAGGGGCCAGGGCTGCCCGGGTTCGAAGCCGGGAGCTCCTCGGCCCGTTGGAGCCGGCTCTACTATGACTACGCTGCAACTCTACGATATACCTTGGGATATGGTGTGAATACGAAACCGTTTCATGGCCCGTTGAGAATCGGAATGCCATGGTCTACTCTGGTGTAGTAAATGTTGTGGTTTGCCTTGAATGCCACAATCTGCGGTGATGCATGATGGCCTACCGCATGCGCTACAGCCGGTGATACACCGTCATGGACAAGCAAAACGTAGAATGGTGCAGCTCAACTATGTACAACGGCTTCTTCTGCTTAATACACCTCACACTCCAATTCTTTTTTCTAGCCTGCAGGCCTTCAAAAAGCAAGGATCCCGCCCCTGTTCCACAGGCACAAGAAGCCAAGGCGCAAGAACAGCAGCGTCAGACTTTGAGACAGAATGAGCGAAATCGGCAGTGGGAGAAGGACCCACCTTCGTTCGCTGTGTTCGGGAAAGTCGAGATGCTCTGGGCCCTCAGATTCCGAGCCTGCAAGGACAAGTGGAGTAGGGTAGTGCTGGAGATGTAAAAAAGCCTGTTCCACCACAGCACTGCGGACATTCTCCGACGCTTGGCATGCTTGGCATCCCTGGCTGCGAGTTTGAGTCGCCACAGGACGAGCAGAAGAAGCAGAGAGAAAAAGCCCGGGAGGAGAGCCACTTGGAGTGAATCGCATCCGAGGAGAAAGCACAGTTTGATACGTTGTAGGTTGCCCCTATTGACAACCAACTCACGCTACAGCTGGGAACAGCGGGCCATGCAGGCTGTACCTGCCCGCAGGCACATGGGAAATCAAAGATGCAGGTACGCATGCCAGTACTTTCCTTTTGCGTCTGCCTGTGTTGGTGAATGCTGAGGCACTCACTTTTGCATGTTTGTGTGCAGGGTGTGCGTCTGTCTGCCTGTCTACGTGTATGTATTTGAGTGTACATGTCTGTGCTAACGATGACGACATTCACCAACGCCAGACAGACAGGCAGGCAGGCAGGCAGGCAGGACATCGACAGACCGAGAATTGTACACATGACTTTGTGCATGTGTACACACATATACACTTCTGTACTTTGGAGAGAGGGGAAGGTAGAGTCCAGACGAGTCCAGACGTTTGCATTGCAACTGTAGGATAATGGATAAACAAGTCTGTCTCCGCAGTGCAGCTCAGGCAAGCAGGCTGCCGAGCTCGAAAAAGTGAAAAAGCGCGCCTTCGCTGAGAAGGTCGTTGAGGCCTCTCTCACCAAAAATGATATGCCGTGCAACACCTCATGCGCCGTGTCATGCTGCAGTTGTCGTTCTCTTGGATCGATGGTTTCGAGCGGACGTAGAAGCGGAGAGCCAAGAAAGACAACAAGACTCTGGTTTCCTTCCTCCTGCACGATTCACAGCACTTCGCATCCTAGTTCTTATCGTTTCCAGGGTTTGGGATTCGGAGGGACAAACAGACACCGGAGTGGCATACAGCTGCTTCTCTAGTTCCGCGGTCCAGACCCATTGCATTGCTGTCGTGAGCTGGAGCATATTGACACGAGGTCTCAGGCTGAAGGATTTCGGAAATTCAGCTACAGTACATTCAATCTGCTGGTTGGTGTTCATGCAAGTCTTAGGCCTTGTGTGGCCGCAAAGCCCTGTGGCTTGTGCCGACAGGCATACTGGGATGGGGAGAAGAGCTGGGTGGCATGGCCGCAAGTGGCCGCCAAAGCAGGAGAGTTGTTCCGTTCTTTCATTGCAACATCCGTGACTGTCTCATCGCACGCACTCGCACAGAGATCGCATACTTGACTGAGCCGCTGATGTGGGTTTTGGAAGGTCGGGAAGCACCGTAGAGCTCTTCGGTTCAGAGGAATGTGTTCCCTTTGCGTCCTAATGTGAAGACCAGCTTGTTTTGCTTGTTGCCGCCGTCCGCAGTGCTTTCAAGCCGCAAGTTTAGTTTTACATTGGTGTCCCGAATTGCGTCCATGGAAACTCTTTCTTCCGAGATTCGGATGAGTACCAAATGCACCTTCGTGCATTGCCACGGCGAGAGCCAAGATCCCGAAGAGGGACCAATGCCCCGAACAGTTTCATGTCCAGCCATCATCACGGACGTCGAGATAAACTTTCGGCCGGCCTCTGGTAGCAGTTCTCCCTCTAGCTCCCCTTCCACGGCCAAATCGTCGTTTGAGAGCGACCGCAACTCAGTCTCTCCGCTTAACAGCGGCTCCCAGACCAAGTCGCCGTGCCGCCACGGGGGAGGCGAAGTCAGGATCGCTGTGCCAATCGTGCTTGCTTCGCCAGTCGTGGTCCCGGTGATACCACAGCCTTGCCCAAGCATGGGGATCCCGGGGCCCATGCAGAAAGCGTGGATCCCCCCACTTTCAGAAGCCAGCAGCCACAGCACAGCAGCCTCGGCCTCTAGCTCCCAGGGCTCGACTCGAGCCCGGCTCCCCAGCAAAGCCTCGGCCAACCAGAAGCGGATCAACAGGGAGCTTGTCGTAGCTGGCAAGAGGAGTGGTCTCGATGTTCTGAAGATGGTGGCAACGCACCTGGGACAGATGAATGGCGTGAATGTGGCTACGGCTTTCCACCGCATGTCACAGGCCCCTGGACATGAAGGAGAAGAGCTTTTGGCTAGCGCTGCCTTCAGCAGCATGCTGGAGGTGGCGGAGTGCTACGCCGAGCAGGAACTGGCAAAGAGAGATGCTTCGCTGCCAGCGAATTGCTGCACCATCATCGCCTGGTCCTGCGCTCGGCTGAGGGTTTTCCCTCCGTCGCTTTTTGCGAAGTTGGCGGCTGTGGCGACGCCGCAGCTGGGAAGCTGTCAGCCTTACGAGATCACGAATTTGCTGTGGGCTTTCGCAGAGTTCCACAAGTACGAGCAGAACGCTGCTTCGGCCCTGGACCCGGAGCTCCGGGCCCTCGTAGATGCTGTGGCAGAGGCCTTCCGGCTACGAAGCTTCGGTGCTTTTAAGGTGCAAGTCCTTACCTCGGCCCTCATGTCCGTCAGCGCGTTTCCCTGGGACCCGAGCTTCACCAAGACCTGGATCCTCACCAGCACCTTCCAGGAGCTAGTTTCACGCTGGGAGGAGCTGGCATTCGAGGGTCAAGCGCAAGTGGTGCTTGCACTCAAGCGGCTAAGCATCAAGTGTAATCCTTTGTACAGAAGTCTCGTGAGCAAGGCGGGCGGGATTATGATCTCACTGGAGGCTCATGGGCTGAAAGAATGAGTCCAATTTCCGAGGAGAGAAGTTTAAATGTGAATCGTCTTCTCGCCCTTGACTTTCGTGGTCAAATCACCAATTTACAACCCGGGCAGTGTGCAACGTGCACTGAATACACATTTCTTGCCCCTATGTGGCAACATGCCGCATGATAGACATTTATGTAAATTCTTTGCAACAGGGACCGCCTGGCATCCCAAAATTTGCGATTTTCATATCCGGAACTAAACTAAAGTAACTAAGCTTGCAAAGTGATGTCGGGTCCTTCTTGTACTACAGGCCAGTTAAGTAATTAGGCCACCTGCAATTCTGGCAGTCCGGTCTGGGCTTCATGATGGCCTCATTCAGCATGCGGCCAGTCGCGTGAACTTGCCGTTGCTAAGTCTTTGATTCTGTCGGATCTTAGGACTAATGCATTTACAAGTATACCAATAATGCTGACGACAGCAGCAACAACATTAATGGCAACAGCAGGTCTTTGTTGATGTTGCTGCGAAGCTGGCGGCTTTGTATAGAGCATGCCTTTCTGAGGCTTTGGGCTTGTGACTCTTGAGCCTGGAGGCAAGAGACTGCTTCGAAGCCCCTGACGAAAGCAGCCGGAGCAGACCTCTTAGGAACCATTGAAGGGCCTTTCTTGGCATTCTCCTGGCTCCACGAGAGTCTTACAAGAGGTGGGCCAGGTCGCAAAAGAATCGCTTGGGTCCAAGGCTCAAATTCGTCAGCCTTGAACCCCCTTGATTGGTTCCTGGGCCCTGAAATGAAGAGAAGTTCCGAGCCTCCACTGACTCAGGCCGAGATTGGGCCTGGAACGTGGAAGGACATCTGCGCACTTCGAGCTTGCAAAAGAAGCATTTCAGCCACTGACACAAGTGCTCGTATCGTCAACAGAAAGGGGAAAACACCTTCTTTGAGTGTTTGTTGGCATGTTGGTCCGAGTCACATCTCCAGGAGGTGCAGGGCGAGTTCTATTGCACGCTCTGTGAGAAATCCCCCAACGGCCAGAGCCTGGAGCCTTCGGCCTCGGGTTCTGCAGGGTTCTGAAGCTTTGCTTGGGTTTTGGGGTGCCCAGGGTCATTGCGGTCCCGGCTTGCCTTTTTTCGGGGTTGTCTGAGTGTTGGAGTGCGCTCTTTAGGTGTAGCTTCTTCTCAGGTTTCTGCTCAGCCCACAAATATCGCATAATTGTGCATACTCCTTTATATATATATATACACACACACACACATCAGCCTTAGAGTTTGAGGTTTAGCGCTACGCCGCCAGCCCGGCCCATCTTGCGAGGATTCCCATCTCAACAGCGAGAATCACAAGAAGACGCCAGGCTGTCGATCCTCCGAGGTTGGGGTGTCTTTTTCCTTCGAGGCTTCTCGGATTTTCCTTCCAACATAGTCTGTGTTCACTCCGATGCCTGAATACATCACGAGTGTTGCATGGAGCTGCGACCTGTGCGTGAAAGACTTTGTTGATTTCCAAACTCTCCCAAGGAAGCTGGCTTGGGCCACTGGGGTCGGCTACACTGCTCCCGTGCCGGCAACCCCCATGGCCACCGCCCTGCCAGCTACGCAGTTTGGCGACCACGGTGTTGTCGTTGGAGGTTTGAGGTGAGTCTGCGGTTTCCGATAGTTCGTTGAGCTCTGTCAATATTGGTAGGTTCGTGACGTTGCCTGTGTGGGTTTTCTCCAGTCGTGGTTTGGGCAGGGCGTGTGCAGGGCGAGTAGGTAAACCTTGACGGTAAGAGCTAACCTTCGACAGTTTGCAAGGCTCAGAAAACAACTCAAAGCCCAGGTGTGTGCCGGTTCCCGTCCTGCCAGTTCAGCAGGCTCCTGCATGGAATGCCGGGGAGTGCAAGTCAAGTCCGGGAGTCGTCTGCAGTCTTGGGGGAACCATCAAGCATGGAAGGGCTGCGGTGCGTGTTCCCTGTTGCACCTCATCGCAATTGCGGGTTCGTCAAGGCCCTGATGCCAAGTACAGCGAAAACACGCCACATGTTTCCCAGTTCTCTGGAGTCCTTGGGTCCTAGGACCTGCCAAGCTGGCAACAGCTTGGACCTGACGGAATGATCCGCTGCCTTCCCTGCGGGAAGGCCCTTCGACGGCTTGTTCCCGGTTTTTTTGTTTACTGTTCCTTTGGGGCTTTGGTGTGCGAGGGTCACAGTCCCTAGTGTCCTGAGGCAGTGTTAGCCGCGCTCGAACCCTCCAATGTGGCTTCTTGAGCCCACTTCTCCTGTCGCGCGTTCTTTTGTTGGGTGCCTGGAGCCCTCAATCTGGAACTGGGAGAGCGAGATTTTGCGGGATGCTTATGGTCGAGGGCTGAGGGCTTAGGACGAAGAATTACGGCAGCGGTCTGGGCACCAAGAATCTAGGCCGGAACTGCGTTCAAGCGAGGCCTGTCCATTGTTGTTTGCCAGACCCTGGCAAAGACGCACATCGGTCCCCTTTCACGACATGTGTACTCTGCATTCATTCCAGCAATCACGAGTAGGCATAGAATATGCTGACATGCAGACATCCCCATATTATCATCCCGAACGTAACCAAAGCAAGCGCGAGTGGCCCGCGTGCTACATTCATCTGCATTCAGTTTGTTCACTATGGTGATGACTGCTGTTGCAACTAAAATTTTGCTTGTGAGTTCACGCATGATCGTGAGTGAAGCTTTTTCCGTCATGATCCCGTTACTCGTCGTTCTTACTGAGGTGTTCTCTTAAGGTGCCCTGACGGCTATCTGGAAACTTATCAGGGCTGTGCTTACTGCATGTTTCACGGCGGTCCTTAGATGCTGCTAGGATGAGTCAATCGTGACTATGATCTCTTGGCTCCTTTGAGGTGGTAGATGACATCCACTTGATGACAGGAGCAAGTGGTCTTGCGAGCGATTTATCGTATGGGGAAATTGCTCGATTCAGAACTTAACTAGTTCGCACGATGTTTGCGGCAAAGCTGCCAGAATGAGTGTAGCGAAGCTTTGATTTTCCTTCGGAGAGCAGATGCGATGCCAAGCCTCCGTCACAGGCGGTGAATTGCAAGTTCTTGACATGTGTTTGCGCCGTCCGTAGTCAGATGCGCACGAGCACGAACCTGAAGCGAGGTGGGGGTGGCATATCTGTTGCGACTGTCAATTAGTCGTTCTTGTTCTTTTGGCGACTGCTGTTGACATTGACGTTACACGGGTCCATGGGTCATCAAACTTGGAAACTGGAGCATGGACACAAAGAGCCGATGGACACAAAACAGCCTGAGCGCCCCCATGATGTTCGAGGCATCTGCACCAACATCCCGTATGGTAGGACAGTGACAGTAGAGCCTTATCTAAGACAAACTGCAAGCAACCCGGGACTAGGTCCATGAGCCCAAAACTCCTAAGCCACAAGCACAAACGGTGCACATCATCCCGCACAGTATCTTGCTAGAGACTTCTGCAACACCGTCTTTTCCCGCTACATGTCCCAAGCTCCGAAGTTTCCAACGCCATTCCGTCCATCGTGAAGGAGACCACATGCGCCGACTGCAGGCCTTCCTGGAACAGGCCTCAAAGAGGGTGCAAAGGGACACGAGCTGCTCTTGGCATCCCAACCCTGAATCTGCCGATGACTCAGCCACCCGATTTATAAATCCCATAAGTAGGGAGGCAGCTCTGGATGCTCTTTAAATGGGATCGAATCTCCCGCTGCAGTTTCGGGACGAGACTTCCATTCAGGGCAGTGAACTGCCATCTCTTGACGCATGTTGGTAGCGGACGAACTATTTCTACTACGATGCTGATTGTTGTTTCCGTGGTGTTATCGAGGCTGAGGACAGCAGTGGCACAGGAACATGTCTACTGTCATCACTACTGCCAGGAGAGGCTGAAGACATCTGGTTTCGCTCCGCCCCAGCTCGAGTACCTGGCCTACGTTCCATGCCGCTCCGCACGCAACAAGTCTGGACAGGCCTCCTTCGACTGTGGAGATCCGGCACAGTCCATAGCCCCTGAACCCAAAGTCTTGCTTGGACGGCAAGCTCGCGCTTTGGAGTTCAAGGGGTTTGGGCCTCAATTGTCCGGCAAGTCCACTTCACTGTTCCTTAGCAAGGCAACTTCCGACAGTTGACATCGCTATCACTGTCGATGTGTTTCCACTGCTTGGGTGCCGCTGGTGCTTTGTATTCTCTGTCGGGGACCACCAGTGTGTCATGCAACTCCGGGGCGAAATTCGTGGAAGCCTCGTGACCAAATCGACGCGTTCTCCCCTGAAGCATCACAGGAAGGCAAAGATCAGCTGCAAGACTCTTTGCAACATTCGGCATCCCAAATCCCAAACAACAGGACGCTGAGACCTGTTTAGGCATCTCTGCACAACTTGTGCAGAATGTGTGAAGGCTCGTTTCTATTCCGGAAATTTCATGCTCACATGCCGTTGCCAAACCTGTGCACCACCTTTGTTGCAGTGATACAAGTTTTGACATTACCGCCGCAAACAAACAACAGACTTGGGCAGTACTGCGTCTCCGTGGGTATCACACTCTTGTATGCAGAATTGAGCCGTCTGGAGTGCGAATCAGAGTTCCGCCTTGCACTGAACCCAAGCTTCCCAGGCAAAGCACTCCAGATGTGCCAAGACTGCTGCTGCGAATTCCAAACATAGAGCAATTAGAGCAACATTGATCAATATGTTTGGTCTCGCTTTGCTACCACTTTCTGTTTGTGTATGGATATGTCGGGCTTGTGTGACGTTGGCCCGCAGCTGAGGGGACGAAAACAACCCGAGCAGCGAGCGCTGCATGAAGTGCTTACTTTGCGGCACCTCGGGGCAAGATTCGTTGAAGTTCTATGCTGCTGCTGCTGGTCCCGCTGATGCTGATGCTGCTGGTGCTGCGGGTGCTGCTGTTCTGCCGTTGACTCATCTCCTGGTTTAATCAACACCCGGCGGTGCTGCAACTACTTCTGCCCATGTCTCCACTCCTGCCGTTGTTGATACTACTGTCACTAGTGCTCCTGCTGCTTCTCCTTTTCCTCCTCCTCCTTCTAAACCAATACTACTTCCTACTACAACTATTAGCAGCGACTGGCATGTCTACCTATACTACGACGATGGCGACGACTACTACGACGACGACGACTACTACTACAACTCCTGATGCTGTTACTGCTGCTGCTGCTGCTACTACTACTACTACTACTACTACTGCTACTACTACTACGACGACGACGTCGGCGACGACGACGTCGGCGACGACGACCACGACGACGACGACTACTACTACCACCACCACTAGTAGTAGTGCTGAGCTGAGTCCTGAGATGGTGGCCAGATGTCCCGTGCTCGGCCAGTTTGTTGGCGGAGCACCTTCGCCAGCAGAAATCTAAAAAAGCACATCACCAGCTGTAATACAAGTTATAAGGACTTGGGGCTTGCTTGGTCTAGAAAGTCTAGGGGCTTCGGGTTAAGGCTTTGGGCAGGCACCGGCGGTTAACAAAATAACAGCTAAATCCCAATCAAGCTTAGGCTTCCATTGCTAATCGTGACATCCGGCGCCCCTTCAACCCTGAACGCTCTGCATAACGATCGGCGAAACGATGCAGGCCCTTATGCGGTACCACGGCGTTGGGTCCCCGGTCAGAGGTCCGACCTGATTCTTGCAAGCATGCCCTGATGATCAAAAGCGCAACAAGCTTGTGTCCTGCACCCCATTGTAGGACTCTGAGCGGATGCTCATTTCTTTCCTTCTCTCATTAATTCCGTCCTTCCCTCCCTCTCTATCTCTGTCTCGCTCCCCACCGCCCCAGCTGCACGGAATACTCGGCCCGCCAGACTCATATTTTGACCGCGAGCTGAAAGGCTTGCTCAAAGTTCATCATGACGCCCAGAAAAGCTCCCCTCTACCACGACAGCTCCTTGAGCTTGTACTCTGGCTGTAATCTGCAGCGTTCATCCTGGATTCTAGAGGAGGGAACGGAACGCACTGTACGGAGCGACAACTCGTCCGGTCCGCCTGTACAGCGGGTGAAACCAGGTCGTATTCTCGTAGGTACGGAGACAACGGCCGCTTCGGATGTACTTCTCAGAGCCCTACGCTCTGTGAACATTTGAAGCAGCCTTGAAGCACAGAATCAACCCTGGGCCCGGAGGGAAGACGCAAAACAATACTTACGCTTCAGGGCTTAGGGTTTATGAGGGGTCTGGCTATATTACAAGGCTGAGTAGTATGGACTGATGCACTTACTTGCTCGGCTCATGTCCCAGTTAGAGCCTCGCTCGACTTTTCACAGTGCCCTTGGTCAAGCTCAGTCTGAGCGCTTACACTCACATATGGCCATACACCTTATCATGCTTCAGAGCCTGAGATACGTCAGCCTCCACAAGACTTGATGATGTGGAAAGCAAGAGAGACCTAGCCGCTGTGGCTACAGGTCATAGCTGAGTGTCACCGCCCAGTGGAAAAGTCCCCCGTCGCGGGCTCAGGTCAATGGCGAACTACTCATGGCTGCTAGGAGTGGGGAGCCTGTTAGTCACAGTAAATTAGAGCAACATGTCTGAATGATAGTATGTGACAGTATGCCCTGCCTTAGTATGTGTTAGTAATCTGATGGCATATTGCAGCATTGATATGGTAGGCTCTCCCAAACCAGCATGGCTTCTGCTCGGGACCCGCTTTCTCAGCTAGGGATCCTGAACCCTAAACTCTAAACCCCTAAACCCTAAACCCTAAATCCCTAAACCCCGGAACCCCTAAACCCTAAACCCCTCTAAATCCCTAAACCCTACACCCTATAAACCCCTAAACCCTCTAGGGCTGTCTTTGCAGGTTCCGAAAGCCCTGGTCTTCCACAGAGTTGGTGCCCATGGCCCAAGCTGCCAGCTCCTGCGGTCTTGGATTCGAGAGTTTCAGGGTTTAAGGGCTTTAGGGATGTTTTTAGGGTTTAGGGTTTAAGTGTTTAGGGGCAGCTTAGGGTTCTTAAGGTTGGAGTCTGAGGCTTTTTTTGTTGAGCACCTTGTCGTCCGCCTGACCTCACAAGCATCAGAATCCGTGTAGCGGAAGGCAACTGTACGGCTTAGGGTTGTGGAGGGGCGGTTTAGGGTTTAGGGTTTGGCGATTTAGGGATTGAGCAAAAGTTCGCAGCCTGTTTGAGATGAAGCTTGGTCTGCCAGGTTTTCGGGATAGCGGGGTGCTTGGAGTTGGTCTTGCTTTACGGGATGATACGGAAAACAAAAGGAATCATGCTGACGATAGCAATGCTGTCGACAGCAAGCACTGGCACTTTGCACAAGTTCTGCCAATGCCTTCATAATGAGGAGGAAGGTGAGGAGAGCAGCGCTCACGATCCTGTCACACCGATTGATGCGATGCCAAGCATATACATGTTTCCAGCAGATTTGAGACAGAACTACGTGCGCGAGAATCCTGGCCATCAAATTTGTCAGTGTTGTATAGGATTGCGCGCAGAAGGGCTGCGGTGGAAAATGCAGGCAGCAGTGTAGTAGATGTGGTGATGGTGGGAACCATACAGAGCACGGAGAATGGGAATGATCACAGTTCTGATCAGGATAGAACCATGTATTGACACAACCTCCCAGAACTTCTAGCTGCTGGCCCAGATTCGTCAGGAAAGTGGCAGCAAGGTACGGTTGGCTGAGCCTCGGGCATGCTCGATACTGCTTAAACTTCGCTGAAGGCTGCAACGTGATACGTACGTAAGTTCGACTGTCCAGAAACTTGCACTTTGAAAACAATATGCTGATAGTGTTGTGGTTATCTGAGTACTTCTCTGAGTATGACAGTGACAAGTACGACAAGCGCCCATACGACTCCTGCTGCGATGACAATCGATACTCCGACTGTGATGACAGCTACCACCACCACTACTGCCACCACCGACCAATATGCCAATACAACAACTGCTATCACTACTGCTACTGCTACCACTACCACTACCACTACGACTACCACTACCACTACCACTACGACGACGACTACTACTCCTACTACTGCTACTACTATTACCACTACTACTACCACTACTACCACTACTACTACCACTACTACTACTACTACTACGACGACGACGACGACTACTACTACTGCTACTTCTCCTGCTGATGCTGCTGCTGCCGCTCCTGCTGCTGCCCCTGCTGCTCCTGCTGCGGCTGCTGCTGCTGCTGCTGCGGCACTGCTGCGACGACAACGACGACGACGACGAGACTCGCACATCAACTCTTGTTTGGAAGATCCGCTCAGATTCGCAATCTGTCGCTGAGCTTGGTATTTCTACTGCCCCTGTTGACTGTCGCAACACTGACTCACCTCCTTGATGCAGGACTGTCTAGACTCCAGATCTGAGCCGAGCCGAGGGCGGCTGGAGCATCATGCCGGGAATCGTCCCCAACAGTACCCAGGAACCTGTCTGAAAGCGCGTGAGCAACCTCAGGAGCAGGATATCACGCTTGGATGCTTTGGAGGGGCTGCAGGTGCATGAACATGAAGGGTTGGGCTTTGTAAGTCAGGGGCAGCCCTGTGTGACCTTTCGGGGTGCTTCTGCGGTAATGGGCAAGAGCCTTCAAGAGAAGATGTGGAGAGGACCCGCAAATCTGCAAATTGCGCCAGAGGCAAGGCTGACTGAGTCCACATTTCGACACGGATTCCTCTGTGGACAGCATGTTCTTGTGGCAAGAACCACTCCGAAGCCAACACATTGCCTAGTTAGGCTTTCCATTTCCGCCAGGCAACCCAGTGTCGAAATATTTTGCTCCTGCAAGCGGGGATGTTGGAAGCAGCAGGAATGCACAAAAAAGAGCTTGATGGACCTTTTGCTCTTAGCAGCCGAACAGGATCCAGTAAAGTTGATACTAGTAGTGTTTGCTGTGGTCAGGATTCTGATGTTTACTTGTTATCACCCTTGCTAAAACGCAGCGGCGCCTTTTCATGGATCTTGCAAAATTGCTTCTGACTTCTCCCAGAGCTACTCGGTGGTGCCTGCACTGCCCGGTGATCATTGGCGATCCATTTCTCTACTCTAAAGCACAAACGAGGAACTCTGACTTTCGGCTACTCACCCTAAACCAGGCACTGTTAAAACTAAACACTAAACCTCAGCCAACCCTAAAATACATGTTACCAATGCTCTGCTGCAAGAAAGACCGGGGTCCTTCAACCCGCGAGACGACAAGGCCACCAAGCAGACCAGCCTCGCACTCTTAGGAGATCATTGCGTACGGCGGTTGATGTTGGTCGTACCAAACATAACGTCTATGCATGTGTGTACGTGCGCATGTATGTATGCTTGTATGTACGTGTATGTATGTATGTATGTATGTATGTATGTATGCATGTATGTATGCATGTACCTGTGCAAGGCGACTCTCGACATTGACCCTAACTCGGAGAATGTCAAATGTATGTACGTACCTGCATGTTCTGGTGTATCTGTATGCACATATATATATATACACATGTACACACACACACACGCACACTTGCATGTACATAGATGTGTATATAGCAGTCCTGTAACATGCACCGCTTCGAACATGGTACTCCTGTTTGCGTTCTCAGTTTTGTAGATTTTACTGCTCGTGTATCCCTTACAAAATGTCTTTCGACATCTCCTGAGCTCCTGTGGAAAATACGGACCTTGACAAAGTCCCTTCTGCAGAAGGTCCATTGCAATCCCTCTAGGGTTTTAGGGCGAAGAGGTTTTGGGGACTTTGGGAACGTCAGACTTCAGGGTTGGGATCGTCGAATTTGGGGCTTAAGGTTTTCCCGATCAATCTCTGATCGCAGGGCTTCAATCCCGAAACCTCCACCCGATGCACAAACAACCTAAAACCTCAGCATCAGATGCAGTCCCGGGTGCACCAAAAGCAGCTGCTCCTGTGAGGAGGCTCGTGGCGAGCGTTGCCACGACGCCCTGTGCAAAGACTCTCTTTACTTTCTTTTGCAGGCTGTCGGTGTTTTTGTTCTAATTTTAAGCTGTGGTAATTCCCTGCTAGTTGCAAAAGTGCCGGGTTAGGATTACTTTTCTTGTGACAGTGGCATCATTGAACCAGCATATTCCTGTTCTTCTTGTCGTTCTCATGGCCTCATGGCACTCAGATTTGCTGCCAGGTTTATCTTGAGTGTTTGTCGGGGTCGCACCTCGAAGCCATACCGGCAATAGGCGATGATACACGGGATCCCTTCGATCACAAGTGCCAGGAGCCAGTAGTTCACCTCAGAGACAAAATGCCCAGGTCTAGGTCTGCCATACTTGGTTTGCCTGATCTCACCACTGAAAGGGTGTTGGGGGATTCCGACCACTAAAGTATGGCAAGTGGGTTTTGAGAGGTGTTGCTGTCCGGGATGGGGATTTTGCTGCCCCGATCCAAGCAGCATTTACGTACTTTGGAGTTCGCTTGCCTTGTTAATCGGGGGAGGCCAATGAATGAACATCCACAGCAAGCCCCCGGTGTCTGCCGCAAGTTGTTGTGGCAACAATTATCTCAGTACCAAATGCTCACTGATCTGAAGCCCCCATCAGTAGGAAATAACCGTACAGGGCTAGAGCAGCTGCAGCCGACTCCCGTATAGAGACCCCTTGATTCATAGGCCTGAAGCTTCACGAATCTATCTTCTAGCAACTCGTCCCATGCATGCTCCCTGCAAGCCCCACGATGTGCCGAACTTTTGTCCCCTGTCGCCCGAGGCAAAAACGCAAAACCGCAACCCAAGAGACTAGCTTCAATTCTCCTTATGCCTTGAACCCGAAAAGCAGATTGAATCTAGCGGCGATGGTCGGGGAAATCTCCGGTATGTTCTCTGCCCAGCTGCCTCATCAAACCGGTGCGAGTTAAACTCGACTGATGCGTGTGTGGACGCATGAATGTACGCATGTATGTGTAAAGTATAACATATATATATATAAATGTATACACACACGTGCAATACATTAAAACTTACATATATGTAAACATATAATTATATGTGTGTACATATAAGTATACATACACACAAGTATGTATCTACGCATACGTACATACATACATACATACATACATACATTTTTTACTTTCAATGTTGCAGAAGTACGAGCTTCGGCGAACGATTATGAGGACACGCCTTCCGCCCGGCAAACGTCTGCTGTGCATTGCACATCATCCAACCAAAAGTTTTGGGAAACTTCCGGCACGTATGCCCTTTGGCAAAGTTTTTAAGTGGTATGTACAGCAACATGTAAACATCTCCATAATCACGGATCACTTCGGTCACTTCGCCCTCATCAATTCATGTCGCGGCAACGCCATCATCAGACATTCTTCACCATTGTAGAGGAGGGCCTGGTAATGACCACAGGATCAAAACTGAGCACAGGCAGTATCGACTTTTGCGAGTCAATAAGTTGTCTAAAAGCACCGGCAACTCTAAATGCACATCAGGGACCACAGCGAATCTACGCTTCAAAGCACTACCACTAGTACTGTTGTAATCGAACCTGCCAACTTGTATGGTCAAAATCCACAGCTCAACAATGGCCGTATGCATGGCCTAACAGTGGTCGCATGCATGGCCTTTTGTGTGCGCCAAGCATTCAGCAGTTCCCGTGCCGACAGGCTGTACATGTCACCTAGCACGTGTGGTTCAGGAGGCTGTATCAGGATCGGTGCAGAGCATCCCCCGTCCACACCAATATACGAGCCTCCCTGCGGCGATCTTGCTTGCCAGTGACAGGCCAGCCTCTCATGTAGCTCAGGTTGCTTGCTAAGGAAAAGCTCAAGAAACTCAATCCCATCATGTTGTTGGGCCGGCTGTCGCCAGCCAGCCATCGTCGCCACCCAACATGGGTGAGCCCACAAAGTAGTGGTCCCGCATTTTTCAGGATCCTTTGACGGAGCCTAAGCATGCTCCCCGTGAAAATGGCATCCAGCTCACCCGAGGATAAAACCGCCTTGACACTTCAGTTGGCATAACAGAAGTTTCCATGGTTCTGTATCCGTGGCAGGATCACTGAACAGAGCGGCGAGCCGTTCTGCCTGAGGGCGCTCCTCTGCATGTTCTCCCGCCTTGTGAAGGTCCCGGTTGCAACCCATACTCCCGACTTCTCCAACTGATGCAGTCTTTTCCGAACAGCCTACGCCGCCTCTGTTCGCATCCCGATCTCCATCGTCGGGCTTTGGTACTCCGGAGCCAACTTCCGAGTAGCATGATACCTCGCCACCACCAGCAGGCTCGTGCATAGCACCAGCATTTGCTGGAGTGCTGCCCGTACCGTTCACCTTCACCGGCTCGATTGTCGGGTTGCGTTTCTCGCAAGGAGCTGGAACTCCTGGAGACATGGTGCCCGAGGATCTCCTGGAAGCACCCAGTCGCACCTCCACGCCCTCGTCTCAGGCGCCGCCATGGGGCATGTTCGCGAGGAAGATGGAGGACGAACAGCTGGATGGCGCGAAGGGAGACGAGCATCAGGCCGAATACCGCAAGGGCGGCAACAAGGGCAACCTCGGAAAAGGCAAGGACACGCGCTCCCAGGATCGAGGCCAAATCGCTGGGGTGAAGAAAACCTGATCGCCGACAACTCCGCGGTGATGAGCATGCTTGCGAAACTGGTGCTGAGACGCGAAACGCAGATCACCATCAACAGACAGGACAGCGCCTTCGTAGTCTTCATGCACACGGGTGTGCCAAACAGCCTGGCCGAGTCGACCTGCAAAGTGGCACAGAGCTGGCACGAGATGAAGTCCAAGACTGCTCCAGAACGGCTAACGTCGCCGATAAGGGTGCTTCTTTTTCAGCACCTTGCGAAGACGGTGATGGAGCAGTTCGAGCGCATGGTACACGCCCCCTCATCCAGGTCATCGGAGATGGAGCTGGGATTGCTGACGCACAACGAGGAGGCTCAAATACATGCATATGTACATGCATACATAATACATACATACATACATACATACATCCATTCATCCATTCATACATACATACATACATACATACGTACGTACCTACATACACACATACATGTGTACCTATGTATATATGTATACGTGCATGTGTATGTATATGTAGACGTATATCAACAGGTTCTATGTATATGTATGTGTATATGTATATGTATATGTATATGTATATGTATATGTATATGTATATGTATATGTATATGTATATGTATATGTATACGTATATGCATATATATATATATATGTCATCCATGTATACGTACCTTTCTACACATATATATACATATACATACACATATATATATATATGTGTGTGTATGTATATGTTTCCAAGCGAATGTTTCAACATATGTATGCATGTTTGCATATATACAGATATGTCTACCAAACCCACAAACCATTAACTAAACATGTATATGCTATAAATGAGGATAAACAAACATAATATATACAAATATACCCATGTATTTCCAAGACGTGCTGGAAAGTTGTATGGAGCCATGTGTTAAAATATGTATAGAAATATACACCCCATCAACCCCTCATCTCCACCCCTACATTGACAACCTTCTCCAAAAACATATGTGTATATAACCCCCAAAACCATGTCACAGCGATGGCCGCATTGAGGACGACATAGGCGGCAGCCTGCATTGGAAACGGGGTCGCATAGCAAACGGTCATGTTCAATCAGTTGGGGGATGTGGATATGGGGACCGTGCATACGAACAGGGGATTCGCGCAGTTGCCAAGTTATACAAGCAAGCATACAAAACACTTGAAGCAGTTGATGGTGATGACTCATACCTATATAGAGAAAAAAGAGAGAGGCACACTGCTCACACGACACGTGACCGTCTCTGTCTGCACGGAATCACTGCAAGCCTTATCGTTTAAAGGTTATAATATGGAGGATTGGTTGCTGCACACAGAAAAAGAAGTTGGAAGTATATAAGATTGACGGTTATACAGATTGTACAGTTCACGGGTGGTGCGAGCTTTTTGGTGCGCTGATCGTCGCGGTTTCTGGTAGGATAGCAGAGATGCTTGCTGGCTGTGCGAACTTCTCCTGCACAGCATTCTGCGAGTGCAGCGCGCCCTGCAGAATAAGATGGAGCAGCTTCACATGGGCATGCTCAAGGGTATGACCAAAGCACGGTCACCCTCCATCTTGAACACGCAAAGCCTGCAGATATCGGTTGTTGAGCGGAAGACAGGCTCCTGACGGACTTGAAAGCGATTCCGCCCCAGGTTGCGCCACTCAGACAGGCAAGTGTAGGTGTTGCCCTGGAAAAGAACATGAAACCATACCTGCGCAACTTCCTGGCCGTTGGGACCGCCAACGACCACGACATCTTCCCGCTTGCACAAGCGGCCGCTTCCCACGTAAGAGCTAACGGACGTTTGCAGTCCGGGAGAGGCTGCCAAGTTGTAAAAATCGTTGAATGCAGTGTGCAGAACGCTGCCAGCGTCCTTCGGGTTCAACAGCCCCGTCCGTTTTTCTGAGAACTCGGACAAGTTTCGTAAATGTTCTTCAAGTTCAAGCTCCAGAACGTGCTTCTCCGATCCGGGTTGCATGTTGTGCAGGTTGTTGGCGTACCTTTTGAGCTCTTTGTGTCTCCTTTCATGTACGAAACATGAGAGCAGGCACGAGTGCCTTCGCATGAGGTCGCCCAAGTGCATATTCATGTGGGCCTTGGGGAGAACCTTATCCTCCCCATAACATGCCTTGAAGAGTTCCAAGTGCGAGGATATCTTCTGCTCCAGATTTGTCGCTTGTGTCGCAACGTTCTCCGGCGTCGCAGTCTTGTACAGTTGGTCAAGAATCTCGCAAAGCATGAAAAAGCAACGGAAACACTCTCGGGCTTCATTGTTCCTGATCGTGGGGAGCTTGTCTTGCAAAAATGCTTGCAGTACCGGGTACAAGGCCATGGCTTCCGATGCCCCAGACTTGAATTCGGTGACCTTCTTTGCGAACATTTTCTTTGCGGTTGCACCTTTGGCACCAACGGCCGACGGCCAGCAGCAGCCAGTGAAGAAACCGTTCCTGCGTGCATTCTGCGCACGAATGGTATGTATGCATTTTAGAAGCACGGCGTATATGCAAGAAGAAATATACCGGGATAATGTACTGATAATATATATAACTGATATACCATGAAGCGCATTAACAAAAACACAAATGTAATGCGCACATCCGACATATAAATATGTGTGATTTTTTGTATATATATATATACATACATATAGAAGGATGCAAGAAGCACATCAAAATCAAAGATTGATGCTGTGTATAGCGATAGTGGCATCTCGGATTGAGAGATACCTTGGTTGTGCAACACCTTGAGGAGCTCGGTCATTTCCACGTGGAAAATACCACCCACAACAAAGTTGTGCATCCAGTCGTACATGGACAGGGATATGGGCTGCAAAAGGTTTGCCAGCTCGGGTGCAAAAAGTGGCCCGTGTTCTGCAAAGTTGAGGCCCAACGCGAACTGCCGCAGCTTGAAAGCACCCTTGTTCATGACGGGCTTGCATCGGGCCAGGTGAGCAGCAGCGTCCTGCATGCTTGCGTCAGTGTGCAAGACCAAGTCTGCCTTGCAGTGGCCGACATGGCTCACCAGCGTGCCTGTGGAATCTGTGCGATGCAGCCCTGAAGAATGGGAAACCACATTCTGGCACATGAAGCAGAGCTTCGTGCCACTGGCTCCCTTGTCTTCCCACACAGATTTCAGTGCTGCCTCGTCGGCGATCAAGAGGCCTCTCTGTATATACTCCCAACAGACAAGATTCTAAGCCAGCGTAAAACCTAAACCCCTCAGATGAAGAGACCTGGACATGAATAATAAAAGCACATACAAAGTCACCAACATGTGCCAAAGCAAATGTATATACTTCTACATATATACATAAATGTATATATATATATACTTATGTCCTTTTGAGATACACATGCCTATAGAAATACGCAGACCAGCCAAAAAATGTACAGACATATATATATATATATGTATAGAGTATATATAGGGAGTATATACAGAATTGAACAAACGACAGAGAACAAATACTTATATAGATGAACATACAACAAATAAACACATATATGTGTGCATACTTATTTTCGAAGAGCATATGTAACTGTACACACAAAAACACTTTAAAAAAATACAATACAAGTGTACATATACGTACAAATATTTACCAAGCCGCCAAGACGGCAACAGAGCATCCATTGCTGTTGATTGGGCATAGGCAAACTTATGCCGTGTAGCAGCTCATCTCGCCGGTCCAGGAGGAAGATGGAAAAAATCCTGATACATATAAGGAGGAGTTTTATGTGCATCATGCATGTATCTATATATATATATTTATATATATATATATTTATATATATATATATATTTATTTATTTATTTCTATATGTGGCATATAAATAAATAAATATATATATATATATACATTATACATTACGTCACCAAATCTTACATTCCCTCGTCATGATTCTTTAAAAAACATTCGAAACATGCGTGCGGACCTCTTCATGAGCTGAGTCATCCCATCACTCAGCCGCTTGACATCAATGGAACGCACTGCAGTCAGTACGAACCATGAGTCCTCCTTGCTCAGCGCCAAGCCACCCATTTGTTTCAGCGAGAAATACACCACCTGAAGTTTCCTTTCGTTCACCGGCTTCAATTGATTACCTGGTGATATTTCATCCACGTAGAGGATAATATCCCAAGGTCGCGCAGGACTGGAAGTGCATCTTTGTGCGCAGTCCCTGAGGAACTCCTGAAACCCACCCCCCTGTTGGCACGCTGTCCAGAGCAGCGCCACCGGGTCGAGGTAAGTGACCGTGAGGGGCGGCCCTTGTGTCATGCTGAAACCAGTCAGCTGTTTCCACAGGGGGCCGTACGGTGTGTTTAGATCCAGCTTCTTGTCCCGTTTCCGTTTCAGTGCTCCTCTGGAGGTCGCGGGTTGATCCTCTTCATCTGGCAACAGCTCCAAAATCTCAGCGAGCGCTCGCTGAGATACGAAGGACTTGCGGTGAGCCTCAAGGATGCTGCTAGCTGCCATCCTGTATATATGTACACAGACGGGGAGGCTGCGAGTGCACTCTGCAGCCTGGAGGTGGCGGTTCTGAGTTTTTTACCTGCCCCTCTTGTCCAGTATATACGTCCTGCGACTATAAATATAAGGACGTTCCAAAGTATGCTTAAGTTTCTATAGACATATATATAGTTTATACAATAAGTGTTAAGTCTCAATTCTGCATGTCATAAAATATACCCACGTATATACCTTTGTAGATATATATATATATACATACATATAATTGACTACGAGCAAAGTTGCAAGCTACATGCGCTGGAGGCATGAAAATACAATGGTTGCCGGCGCCAGCCATGCATGTCACTGTCACTCGCAATGCAGGCTCATAGAGCATTCGCCAAATCATCGCATGCAAATTGCACGCACGCACTTTTCCAGAAAGCTTCCGGCCACGGTAGAGCGGTATCACATCTGCAGTCGCATTGGCTCTACAAAACCACGCAAGAACAATCATAAGCGTATTGAAAGACGCACATAACGAGGTATATATGATGAACTTGCAATGTGCGTGAGAGCCAGCGATAGATGCACAGAGAACATACATAGTCCGGGCCTGCAGGCCGCGCAGACAGCTCCGATGTAAACGGGCATGAAATGAAGATACAGGCATGAGCAGGTGCAGATCTTGCAACAAGAACAGCAGGTATATGAGAGAGTGTGTATATACATAAGGACATTAAAGGTATAAGCAGATGAATCAACAGACAGATATGAATATATAACGATATACGTGTGGTTGTGTATATAAATGTATAATTTCTGTATATGTATATATATATATGTACACTCAACACCCTTATGGTGACTTATGTCGTGCGTTCTACATTTGATGATCGCTGTGTTTATAAACCTTTGAATATATACAGTTTGCTCTCATGTTGGCATTGACACATACGGTGTGAAGACAGCTGCTGATCTTTGCCAGAATGTTATGGTCATATGATGATTCAACGAATATATAGCATACAGTTCACCTAGCAACAAGCTAAAGCATCATGGACACATTCATAGGATAAATATACACTTTGCGATTCTGGTGTTGTTATATATATATATACATATAGATACGCATCCATCAGAATAGAAAATGATAACATGGTACGTTCATGGCATTAAAAGAGGCACGTAGGGAGTTTTTAATGAAACTATGCACATAGCATGCAGCCTGTATATACACGTTATAATACACATGTAGTTATATACATATATATATATTATGTAGCAAAAATGTACATAGAAACACACATGATATGTAGATATACGGCCTATATATATACTATATATAGTGCATAGAAGTACGTAGCAAACACATGCATACCAGGATGATCATCCTCTGCATGCTTCATGCCTCACTCCTCTACATAGCCATAGTTAATGGCTTCACTTCTGGTGCGGAAAATCCTGCCGTCCGGGGCATGATAATACGTGTCCGGCTGGCCCACACTCGCCCCCGTCCGGCGCCTTCGGATCTCAACCGTCCACCCCTTGCCTGAACCTTTAGCCTTGGCCTTGGCCTTCGCCTTTGCCTCGGACTTAGCCGCCGCTTTAGGCTGGGCCTTCGCCTTTGTAGCGGACTTGGCCGCCGCTTTAGGCTGGGCCTTCGCCTGAGCTGCGGACGTAGCCGCTGCTTTAGGCTGGGCCTTCGATTTAGGCACGGTTTTCGCTGCCGGCTTCTTCGAAATTCCCTCACTGTCCTTCTTCTTCGTCGTCGTGATGTCGTTGCCATCCTGCAGCCCTTCCGGATTCTCCTTCCGGCATTGCACTGCTTCTTCGACTGTGCGTGCAGCCTCTTCTGCACTCAGCGGCGCCGATGTGTTTGGCATGTCGAACTGCAGCTGAATCGGCGTCGTGTTTGAAGGTTGAGGGGATCCCGACTGTGTTGCCATCAGCTGCGACTCTGTAGCCTGCGGCTGTGTCAGCGGCGACGGTTCTGCCTGCTGCTGTGGTAACTGCAACTGTCTTTCCTGCACTTGAAGCTGCGGCTGTTCAGTCTGCTGGGGATGCTGTTGTTGTGCTACTTCCTGGGGCCCTGTGGGCCCTTTATTCTTCGGGGGTTGCAGCAACTGGAAATTCTGCAACAGATCCGGGCCTCGAGAGGACGAGGCGATCTGTCCCGAGGCTTGTGCCATGTATTGCTGCATCATGTTTGCTAGTGTATGTACGGCTTCGTTGAACGACGAAGGGGCCGAGGCCGGGGAAGTTTTCTGCCTTTTCACCAACGCCAAAGAACCTGCTTCCGGTCTCAGCTCCGCAGAACTCTTTCGAAGGCAAAGGTCTTGTTTCATCACCTCGGCCGAGCTGATCGTGACTGGCGGGTCATCGCTCGGATAGGCTTCGTTGAAGACTGCCGCTGGTAGGTCCTTTCACGCATGGACTATGAAAGTTAAAACTGTATGTGTCTATATCTGCAAAGACAGAAGTATCTATGAGTGTATGTATGTTTGTATGTAAATGCTTGTATAAGGAAGGAATGTATGCTTAACTAGAAGAAACTTTGTATATTTCGAAACCTACCTGCTTATGTCAGGAACATCTATATATATGTATATATGAAGCACACGTATAGACCTCTTAAGATTATAGAAGCCCAGTATAAACGAATACAAACCCGATGTATAAGACCGCTATAAACATAAACCCCATATAGACCATGTCCTGGGGCTTGGCAGGAAAAGGATCTGGGAGGCTGATTTTTGGCAGGCGCTTGCTCTTGCTTCGCACCAGCTTCTTTAGCGTCAGCAGAAAGTTGTACTTTTCATCAGCTGAAGTCAAAGTCAGACCTGCCGCCATGACGACTTTGACGATTTCTTTGTATCCCTGTTCCGACGCAAGCCAGAGTTGCACCCGAATTAATCGGGTTGCAACTTGGTCGGCCTTGACGTGCAAGGACGCCGACTTGTCGTTCAAGACTTCCATGTCCTTCGCGCTCAGGAACCCAGCGAAGGTGAGAACGTCCTGGTTCGGTCGTCGGACAACGGACGAACTGCCGCAGTTGGCAACCGCGTTGCTCACAGCGCCTGCGATCGCGGCTCTGTCCTCGCTTTCCCAGGGTCCGTTGCGGACGATGGCCGTCAAGACCGTGCCTTGCTCAATTGTCAGCCCACAGAAGCTCAGGATCTCTTTGAGCATTTGTCCCAGTTGTGTTGCCTTGACTTGGGTGTAGTTCCTTTCTGATAAATCGGCGTGTTGCTGGCGCAAGAAGTCCCCCGTGGCCACCACCTTGTTCTTCAACGTCTCGAAGTCCGGCACGTCCATGATGGAGCTTTGCGGGAGGGGCTTATGGCTTTGATGCCTGAGAGGCTGCGTATGTGCAAGCGAGTCCGGAAACCCTGCTTGCTGATCCCGCGGCCATGGCCTGCGGTCTCGCACCGTCCTCTCTGACGAACACATGCCTGGTGGATCATCATATATTGTGATCTGATATTTCCACGTATATATATATATACATATATATATATATAAAGTCTTGCACACCATCACAAGAATCTGTATATACATATATATATATATGGATGTGGGAAGCAAACAACTAAGCAAGCAAGCGAAACTACAGAATGCATCGGCTATGAAACCACATAACACAGCCAATAACATCTAGAACAGCACCAGATCCACCAAAGCCCATAATCATCTTATAAAAGATATATATATATATATATATATATACGTCTATTTACATACTTATGTACAATATATAATGAAGATCCACACCAGCGTGCACAGAAACTTAAGTCCTTGACACGCAATGTCCGTCTGTTGGAGGCACCTGCAGCATTTTTCCCCAAAGACCTGCCCCATGGGTCTGTCAAAATCTCACCAAGCTGCACGGCCATGTATGTGCATACTTTGTATATAATCTATAATTATAGCTCTCATGCATATAGTCTTATATGGAATATACCCGCATAGAAAAATCAAAGTTCTTACAAACCAAGTTATGCACGGCAGTCTATTTGTGCACGTATATGTATGCACATCTATAGTGGCAGCAGATGATTGGCAAGCACGACTTTGCCGGCTGCAGTCTTCTTTGTGAGACGGCGATGCGGCACGACGCCAGCGCCATGTCTGAACTTCTTTGGTGGCAGCCAAATCGACCCCATGTTGTCCGACATCACCGTACCCTTCGCAGAAGCCAATAGCTTCAAGTTCAAAGCTCCTTTACCGAAACCTTTCTGAACTACCCTGCGGAGGTCCTTGATGCGAACGGTGTGGCTGTCTCTTGATGTCCACTTCCCCTGCAAGGTTCCGGACATAGAGTACCAGCCGAACTGCACATTACCCTCGTCCTCCTTCCACGTTGCATGCACGGAGCACACGACGGCCTGTGCAGGCATGTACCGGATGATGATGGCAAGGTTGGCCTGCTCGTGCTGGTAAAGCCACGTGTTGTCGCATGTGTTCATCAGTCTCAGCTTCAATCTACGAAAGCCCGTGCGGAGGCCAACCTGTGTGTGAATCCGGATGGCCTCTCGGTTCGGGTCTTCCTGTAACAACCTCGCAATTGTTGACGGCACTGGCCACCACCGCTCCATGTTCTTCTCCATGAGCTCTTCAACCTGATCATCTAGCTGTGTGATCCATCCATCTCGGTGGCAATCCACCTCGTAGTACAGGAACCGGCCTGGGGCATCCATGTCTACACGCAGGTGGTCAGCTTTGACGACGCTGGCTTGAGTCGGCTGAGCGCACAGGCGAGTTTGAGACAACCCTGCCATGTGCAGCACTGGCGAGTAACACCCTGCCACGTGCCAACATGCAAGATGTGCAACGCATGCAGAAAACGACAAAATCACATCTTCTTTTCTGCCGCCAATGTTTCAACTCTCACGGGCGTTGCAAAACTTTCCACACTAGAGAAATGCTGCAACATATGTGGTTTATAACCTATATATATAGGGTTTAGGGTATACAGGGTTATCATAAGCGCAGCAGTATAAACCCCAGCATGACCGTGGACACAAAGCAAGCTCTACCCGTGATCGGGAAAAAGAACTCCCTCAAGCGCAACTCACCGGGCCACGTCTTATTCCCGTGGACGCGATACCTTGGCTTGTACGCCGCTTCAACGACACCTTGCACGTAGATCCTACAATCAAAGAGAGTCCTGACTTTGATGTGGTGCCCCGTGGTCAGGATCTTGACCATGGCCGTGCCAACTCTACACACCTATGACTCATTCAGGTTTCAGGCGAGACACCAGGCGAGCGGCAACATCGCATCAGACTTGGAGATCTGTGCATGGCCATGAGGGCATGTCGTTCTATAGGGCCTTCGATGGTACGTGCCTGAGAACCTAAAGCCGTGTCACGGCAAAACGTTTTTCAGCCACAGCAAAGCTGAGGCACGCAACATGCATCCTGGGTGACCTGAGCGAGGTATATATACCCCTGCTTAGTCTGCTTGGCGGGACTCCCTGCCAGCACATTCAGATTTACATACAATATGTGTATATATATATATATAAGACTCCTGCTCCTACTATATATATATATAGACTATATACTACTGTATTTCCTTTCTACTACTATAATACTATTGCTATACTACTACTATATACTACTACTATACGACTATAGTACTGTATACTACTACTACTACTACTACTACTACTACTACTACTACTACTACTACTACTCCTACTACTACGACCACCACTTCTCAGTTACTGCACACAACCGTCAAGTGCGACCC